AACGAAACAGGGGGTGGCAGGCCTTAAACGGCCGCAGGTACGCTTTTGACATGCAAGACGTCAATGGCTCTTAAGACCACCTTGGCGCTGCCTAATTATTAGTAATTTGTAAGCCTTTTAATCACTCTGATAGCCTTGTTATTTTATTTCCGCATGACAAATTATAGGTCGCTGGAGAGATATTTCAAGGCTGCTTTTTACCAAAAGGTCAGATATAACGTATATTGCCATCACACACACAAAGCGAAAATAAGAAGCATCCACAAAAAAGAACGCACATAAAAAACGAAACACAGGCCACGAAGCGGAACAGAGGAAAAGAAATATGAAAAGGAACGGCACGGAAGAGCGATTTTTACAGAGCTGCAGGCGATTACATGGCTAGTCATCCATGTGCAAGGCTATGCTGCAAATTTTGTCCCAGCACGTGATCTCATAGAAACGATTGATGGTGACCTTGCGCAGAACGTACGCGAGCGCTCATCCTAAGAATCCAACGTGCGCTGCGCCATATTTCCTCTCTTGCTGCCCCAACTTGCCCAATTTTGCCTTCGAGCGGTGTCGCAAAGGAAACGTTGTTGAGAAAGGGACTCTTTTCACTGTTGCTAAAGGCTTGGTGCAGTGCAGAATATGTTCAATATTGTCGTGGCGGCGTTCCTTCACCATGGTTTTGAAAACCGTGTTGTGGCAGCTTCTTGGTTATTGTAGATGGGCTCGGAAAATAACAACCACATACGTGGTCGAGAACACGTAAAGGCCGTCTCTCCAGCTGACCGGTCTACGGCCGCTACACTCCATTGATGCGTGTGGTTCGCTCCTTTGTTACAGAAATAAGAATGGTTGAAAACCCAGACCTGATATGAATGGTGGGCAGCATGATGCCATCGTTGACAGGTGTCTGAACGCAGCGTGGATTATTCGCGGGAAATAAACTCGTTGGAACCGAGCCAAACATTACGAATTATGTGTTGCGTGCATCATATTTTATCACACTTGTATCATGCAGCATGATCCAAAAGTTATAAAGCTCAGCACTATATGCTCATTTACAGCTTATGTTCCAAAAGGACCAAGATTGCATGCTGCTACCTTCTGAAGGCTAATAAAAGCATTACGAAACGTTATGCCCCGGGCTTCATTTGTCTTGCAATATAAGTGTCATTTAACTTACCATTGCATTCAACAACACGTCAACATTTTCTTTTAATATAAAAGTCCTGATCCTTTTTATTGGCACTATTTCTACCTTTATGACCAGATTGAGGGCATTGTTAACTCTATTTTCAGTATGATGTTCACATTTTTAACAAAATATATCTTCAAGTTGTCCATTTTGGATTTACATATAAAATTAACATGGCCAGTTACACCCAAAATGCATCCGGTTATGAAAAATATTTTCGAATTCGGCTTTAAGCAAAACTTGGAGCAATATTTTTGTGACTTCAGAGTACGTCTACTACATCGGTTATTTGAGTAAGCGTGAGATTTAATTGCTGGTGCTTGCGTTTCGAGAATTCGACTTCGTGTCGTTCTTCGCGCTGCAATCATGCTCGTGACGAAAAATCATCGGTTACTGGAACCGTGAAAATCGAGTCTCATTCAGCACGTGGCGTGTGCATTCTTGCATGCATACCTCTAAATTGTGTTTTTTTTTCTAGTGATGAGCGTCTTTTCGCCTTTCACGATGTTGTTATCCATCATGTCTGCCAGTATTGCGCTCGTAAAATACCTCGTAGTTGGTGAAAATCCATCGTTGGAATTATTACGGAATGCATTGCTACATTTCATGTTTCTATTTATCGCAATAAGGGCTCGACTACTTCGGCGGGCTCCGGCAATCTTCAGCCTTGGTAGGCGGAGCCCTGCCGTGCCACGCGCCACGGGCTGCTGCAGCAGCACTAACGAGCAGGCAATGCCTTCCTTTGTTAATGATGAGGTGTCCAGGCCAATCAACATAAGTAACAGCAAACAGTCCCGAATTGGTGGTCTGGTCGTTCGTAGCTTCCGTAGCCACGGCCAGGTTTCGCACTGACCAGCCATTACTTCAGGCCTGGTTGGCTCGAAGAGAGACCGGTTCGCCTCACGCGCGCCTTTTAGTCACGCGCCCAGGCTTTACCAGGTCGGCATGGCGCGCTGCTGAACCCATGGATTGCAGAGGGTGATGGGAAAAGTTATTTGTGTACTACGCGCGGAGCAAAGTACCAGCGCTTCCTATCTGACATTGCGTCATTCGGTGGTTTAATGGGATATTCAATGGTTAAGCTTCAGCTTACCTCGCTCTCAACGTTTTGCGACGCACACAACTTTCTACGAAGCGCGGGCCACTTGCGATTGCGTACATGAGGGAATCAGACTAGAGAAGAGACGAGAGGGCAAATTTCCGCACTGAAAGTCGCTCGCGGCCTTGATCTGGGTGGAACGCCCTTGCTAGTTGTTACAGTCATTGGAAACTCCCGCTTGAAATGAGGCTACTCGATTAGTCAACTCTGAGTCAAGGGCGCCACCCGCATTGTGAATGAGCTATAAGTAGGTTCTAAGAGCTGAATGTCGCCACCTGGTCAGCTTAACTTGGAGTCGGTGACGGGCGACGTCGTCGCTTGGTCAGCTTAGCTCGGAGTCGGTGGCGGGCGATGATGGCAAAGCTGCGCTCAAAAATCAAGATGTTCCGCGCGTCTCAAGGGCATGCTACGTGAAACATCGGCGTCGAGGTAGTGTACCGATCAACGCGGAACGTCCCCGAGGTGAGGCGTCCTGGACAGTGTGTGTTCACGGTGCACTACAAGGTTATTACCAGGTATCCGAATGCACCCAGCCGATAGATACTAGACAGCATATACACTACTGGGTGTCATGTCGCCGTCAGCAGCACATCACCCCCAGCACTTCTGCAGCCGACAGACTGCCGCGGCAGTACCTTGGAGGTGAAGGGCGTGGGATGGAGCACCACCTTGCCCAGCTCCTTGTCGTCGAGGGAGAGCATGCCGGCCGCCTCTGTGTACAGCTTGACCTTGACGGCCGGCAGCGGGTGGGTGGTGGTGAAGTCGCCTTGGGTGTCCCACCTGGTGGCAGCGGAGGGTGCGGGGAAGGTCAGCACTGGTACCGCCACCGGAAGCACAGCTTCCCCCCCCCCCCCGCTTTTTCCCTGCTATATCGCTGGTTGATGGAGTGACTGGTGCGACGTCGGTTGTGGCAAAACATTGGCAAGAGGCTGCGAAAAATAATTGGTCTGGTATGCGTATGGTGAAAGTGAGCAATCACCATCGTAATTAGGCTCCAATAAGGGCACTCGCACCGTACGACGTTACGACACAACTGAGGGTGCGGGAAGAAAGCTCTTCACCAGCTACATACTCAAGTCATGCCAGGGCAGCCCGACATCACCATCCTCCATCCAGTTGACAAAACTCGGTTGGTCTCAAAGCTGATAAAGTCGCCCCTGTTCCTGTGGCGGAGGCCAGCTGTGCCCCATGACGTAACCGAACCGCTCCTGTCTCCGCACCGGCCACTGACATGGGTTTGGAGGCCTCGGCCTGGTCCGTCTGCAGCTTTTCGCCTCCCTCCACCTCCATCGTGCAGTAGACAATCTTGCTGGGCGCCAGCGACTTGAGGCCTCGTACTTCCATGACCACCACCTGTCGGTGGGCGCGGGACGGGCCTCCAGCGTCAGCTGCCGTGCCTCGTCGCCACGCATCACGTATTTAAGGACTGGCGTGTCGACTTAAGGCCTTGCAATATGCAGCAGCTGTTAACTACTGTCATCACACGCCAATGCCAGTTCACATCACGGCCACAACCGAATAACGAACTGAGGCGTCTTATGGCTGTACGTGCCATATCTGTGAAAGTCATATCACAGCGACATATATGTATTTCATTTTCCCACGCTTCTGCAAATATGTGTTGCTAATACTCTGGCATTATAAAAGGAAGCAAGGCGTCGTAACAAGAAATGTGGCTATTTTTTTTTACTAGCCTCAACATTTTTGGGAATGACGTGCAATAACAAAATACACGCAGTTAACAATAACGCTCAGAAAAATACTGCGAGCGATGTTATAGAACGCCAGTCGGCGATGGTCAATGGTCGTGGTATTTCAAAGGTGATGGCCGATGGATGCGGTATCTCAGAGAGGTGATGGCTGATGAATGCGGTATCTCAAGAGGTGATGGCCGATGAATGTGGTATCTCGAGAGGTGATGGCCGATGAATGTGGTATCTCAGAGAGGTGATGAACGATGGATGTGGTATCTCAGAGAGGTGATGGCCGATGGATGTGGTATCTCAGAGAGGTGATGGCTGATGAATGTGGTATCTCGAGAGGTGATGGCCGATGAATGTGGTATCTCAGAGAGGTGATGGCCGATGGATGTGATATCTCAGAGGTAATGACCGATGAATGTGGTATCTCAGAGGTGATGGTCGGTGGATGCGGCATCTCAGAGAGGTGATGACCGATGGATTGTGGTATCTCAGAGAGGTGATGGCCGATGGATGTGGTATCTCAGAGAGGTGATGGCCGATGGATGTGGTACCTCAGAGAGGTGATAGCCGATGGATGTGGTACCTCAGAGAGGTGATGGCTGATGGATGTGGTATCTCAGAGAAGTGATGGCCGATGAATGTGGTATCTCAGAGAGGTGATGGCCGGTGGATGTGATATCTCAGAGGTAATGACCGATGGATGTGGTGTCTCAGAGAGGTGATGACCGATGGATGTGGTATCTCAGAGGTGATGGTCGGTGGATGCGGCATCTCAAACTAGTCACAAAAGCCGAGACATGAAAATGAGCGGCGAGAGGCGTCGAGATTTCAAGGGTCAGCAACGCAATTTAAGCGCACCACCGACGAGAAGCTGACCAGCCGAACGTACTCGAGCAGTGGGGAGGGGGGTCAGAATGTTCTCCGACGGAAGGAGCAGCCTGGCACTCCCCCCAGTGGCCACCTACCTCGAGCGAGAACGACAGCACCACGTCCATCTTGGAGAGCGTTTGTGTCGGCGTCCAGACTGTCACCTTCAGCCCTAGAAATGGAAGCCTGTGACCTGCCGAGTCAGGCCAACCGGAGGTCATTACTCAGGCCACGGAGGTGAAACGTCAGAATTGCCCTCTGGTGATGACCTCAGGTCAGCACATGCACATGACTCCGCTCAGCTGCTCAGCCTTGGGTGCTGGCCACTACACGGTCCGTCGCAGCGGCCTGACCCGCCAGCATAACAGGACTAGCTGACAGCCGCGTGTCTGTTTCACCGAAGCTGCTCAAGCTACAGAACTTCGCGTCAGGCCACTAAGCGACTGCCCTGTCCGTATGCTCAGAGGAATCCCCGAGGCTAGTTAATTATAAATGATAGCAGCACGCGGCTATTCCAAACGTCCTGAGCTATAAAACTTTGATACAAGCACACTATGAAATTCTTGTTGACCGTTCATCGGCATGCAGCCATACGATGCACAAACAAAACACCACCGATCACCTCCATGTAAGAAAACGTGTTCTATGTGGGCGGTGGGGCATAAGCCAAAAGCTTTCAACAAACAGTTGCCAGGTTGTCGTGCATTCGAGGCTACCAGCGGACGGGCAGTACGTGTGGCCTTGCTTGTCGCATTTGGCCAGTCATTCACCTATAGCGTCTCATGCGTCAACGCGCGATGGGTTCAGACTTCAGAGTGCGGATCATGGGATGCATGTTACATAGCCTTTTCAGAGAACACCAACAATCGGCACGCTCTTTGAAGTCAGCCTATCGCATCTCATTCCATTTAGCCGGGCGCCTCCGAAGCATGCAGCATAACATATTTCGTCTCTTTGGAACATCAAGACCGACAGTCGCCGCCCTATCGACAACGCGCAGTGCACAGCCAGCGCAGCCCTTCCCCTCTTCGCTAGGTTGACGTCTACACAGCGACAAGCGGCCAGCAAGACCAGCTGCATGCTGCGGTCCTCCAACTCCCCGCCCTCCCGCTACCGACGTGCACGCCGTCGCCCTCCGGCAGGCGCACGGCGACGCGCGTTGCCGTAGCGCATGCAGCATGCAGCGCGCCAGCCGACCGACGGCCGGTCGGCCTGTCGGGCCGGGGTACACGCCGGCCCGGCCGCCGCCTCCGGCTACCCGCGATCAATGGATGGACGGCCATCGACGCGGCGGGTCGGCTAGTGACGGGCCGCCGACGCCGATAAGGCCAGCGCCGACACGCGGCGAGCGTGGGCGCTCGCCGACGCGGCGCGCTGCGACACCGGCGGCAGGCGGGCGTGCGGGGGCCTGGGCGCCCAGCGCGGCAGGCGCGCGTGCGGGGACTGGCGACCGGCGTGGCAGGCACGCGTGCGGGGACTCCGCGCCCATCGCGCCAGCCGCGCGTGCGGCGACTGGCGCCCGGCGTGGCAGGCGCGCGTGCGGGGACTGGCGCCCAGTGACGGGCGGCGTGGGTGGCGAGTGCGACGCGTGCGGGACTAGCGCGGTGACGGGGCGGCGCCGGGGACCCGCTCTGAGCGGGCGGCGCGATCGACGGGACAGAGCAACGCGTCTACGGCGCCCGGTCGCCCGGGAATACCTGCCCTTAGCACAGAGCTACGTCGCCGGCTGGGGACACAGACACGGAGTCAGTGTGGCGCTCGGAGGCTGTCTCAGGGGGCGGGACGCACGCGGTGGCTGCGCGCCCCACCAGCATTCGCATCACTAGCAATGTCCCGTGTGTCGAACCATATCAGCCCCCATCCAGAACGACGCCATGTGCCTGGGATGCATCTCGAATGATCATTCAAGCTAAAACGACGTCGCTATGATGTTTTTACCACAGCGTAATGGAATTGAAAGGATATTTCTCCTTGAGTTGGTCAAATCTGAGACATATGCGTGATGAAAAATATCGCCTAAGGTTTCCACACACGTCATGCCAGATGTTGAAAACCGGTTATAAGCAAATCAATGTCATTTAAGGGCACCGCGAATGTTCTTTTCAAAAGTTCGTGACAACCGTTTGGGATGTTTTGCCAGCCATCGCCTAATCCATGTTTTGAAGCCTGAGTTAAGAGAGCTTTTCGCGGCAATACTGGGTGACGGAGACCGGAGCTTAAAGTAAATGGACGAATGTATCAGAATCTTTTACTCCCACATCAGTAATCGCAGAGCGCGACCGTCGTTGCCAAAAATGAGACTCATGACGCATGTTCAGTGTTTATCAGCGGAAGCTTCGAGAAAGGACGGGGGTAACGGCAACAAATAATGTTCAAACCGCTTTGCCTGCAATGGCCGGGACTCCGGCGATGTTTGCAAGTGGCGTTCGCCATGACAATGTGATTGCACATTGCATCGAATGTGGAAAGAATGGACAAACCGTTGCGCCCTTATTCCGGCTTAATGCCGCTGTTTTTTACCAGACGAGGTCATAGGTCACAAACTCTGGCCGGCAGCATCGGCGGCCTTTTGGTGCAGCGCAGGGCAACTCGTTAATTTTGGCTGAGGCAATTTACGGCTTTGGAAGCCGAGTAACTTTTTGTGACAGCAAAACAACAATGACAGATATGCATTATCGGTAGCCATATTGGAGAAATCTGAGAACAAATTCTGGGTTTAGAAGAATGCTGTACTAAGCGACAAGAAATAAATGTTTACTAAGAGCATTCTTTGCAACTTGGTAGCTGGAAAGCGCGCAGAATGCATCTAATGATTAAATGAGATGCAGGCATCACTGTTGCCTGCTTAAAATTCAGCTCGCAGGGTAAAGGCGTAGTGACGCGGCCGGGGCCAAAGGTTATCCGCGTGTCATCAGTTCAGACGCAGGTCACATGCTATCGGACCCTTCTTTTTGCGTGCCAGGTGGTTGTTATAGGCCTCACTGCCTCCTCCCCAAAACGGCGTTCATCTCGGCCCTTGTCATCCACCTGTTTGTTTTGTGCTACGCTCGCTTCATTATCAGGTAGGCTGTGCAGAAGTCTTTTTGGCGTTCAAGACGCTGTTTGACGTGGCAACCTTCGCACTCCTGCACGACAGCTGACGGGCGGGATATGAGCTCAGGTCAGTAAGATCTAACGATCGAGGCAGCGTCTGATGGATGCCGCGACCGTGCAAATATGCCTTAATTGTGGCGACGGATACGAGATGGCTTTCGCTGTAGACGCGAGGTGCCAACGGACAAGAGCGACTAAGTAAGTCATTGTGTCTGGCTTGCGACCACACAGACTCAAAACAAGACCAGCTAAGTGACCAAGTTCAACTCTTAAGCATGAAAGAGGTAGTGTGGACATAACCTGAAATACGAATAGCTAGTTCATGCATACCTCCTGTATGCCTCTTACTGCTCTTAATTGCTCTACACACGTTCAGTTGTTCGGCACATAGTTATATGCACATCTTTCACAGCAGAACTTCCACGCCCAAACCCGTACCAGCAAACACAGTTTCCACAGGCCCGATGCACTCTACCTCGTCCAGCACGGCACGGTTCCACCCCGTCCACGCGCCTACCCCGGCATGCAGCCGGTGCGGCTGCGGGCCGTGCGCCCGTGTGCGGCCGCCCAGCCGCCTGTCCCCGTGTGCGGCCGCCCAGCCGCCTGTCCCCGTGTGCGGCCGCCCGTCAGCCGGCGTCACCCCCTCGCCCGTTGGCCCAACACAGCATGCTGCAGAGAGAAAGAGAGAGAGAGGGAGAGAGAGAGGGGGAACAGAGATGGAGAGAGATAGATAGATAGAGAGATAGAGAAAGAACGTGGCGCCGCCATGCAGCCCCGGCCCGGATAGATAACTACGTGGAGCCGCACAGCAGTCGCCAGCAGGGGCACAGTCGCTGGAAAAGAGGCAGCAGCCAGTGGAGGCCCGCGTGGCGCGGGCCCGCAGCACTGCAGCAGGCAGGCGAACACGCCGCGACGCACGTGGCGAGTGGCCTTCCTCCGCGCCGTGCACACTCTGTGGACCAGCGGCGCGGCGGCGGCTCAGTGGCCGCTCCGAGTCGGCGCCTCTCTGAGGCACTGCTGAGCGGCGGCTCAGCGGCGGCTCAGCGGCCGCTCCGAGTCGGCACCTCTCTGAGGCACTGCGGGGCGGCGGCTCAGCGGCCGCTCTGAGTCGGCACCTCTCTGAGGCACTGCTGAGCGGCGGCTCAGCGGCGGCTCAGCGGCCGCTCTGAGTCGGCACCTCTCTGAGGCACTGCGGGGCGGCGGCTCAGCAGCCCCTCGGAGTCGGGGTCGCTCTGAGTCGGGACGTCTCTGAGACACTGCGGGGGCGGCGGTTCAGCGGCGGCTCAGTAGCCACTCTGAGTCGGGACGTCTCTGAGACACTGCGGGGCGGCGGTTCAGCGGCGGCTCAGTAGCCACTCTGAGTCGGGACGTCTCTGAGGCACTGCGGGGCGGCGGTTCAGCGGCGGCTCAGCGGCCGCTCTGAGTCGGGACGTCTCTGAGGCACTGCGGGGCGGCGGTTCAGCGGCGGCTCAGCGGCCGCTCTGAGTCGGGACCGGTCTGAGACACTGCGGGACGTCGGCTCAGCAGCCGTTCTGACTCGGGATCGCTCTGAGACACTGCGGGAGCCGGCGGCGCGGTGGCGGTTCGGCGGCCACTCACAGTCGGGGTACTCGGGAGTCGGGATCCGACTGAGAGGCTATGGAAACATTCTTTTTTCCTATTAATATTCCTGGAGCATTACATTGTGCACGTCACATTCCCCAATGGTGTGCTTTGAGTCAAAAGTTAGTCGACCAGCTGATCCCAGGACACGTCAGGATAACGCTGTTAGCGCAATCGCAGGTACGGACGTTGGAGCGATATGCCTGGCATACTAAAACTTGTGATGGTTTTCTCGTCGCGGCAGTGACTTTATATATTTTACATGAGGTCAGGATAGGTTAATCCAGGTCACCAAGCTCTCACATTAGGTCATGGTGCGTCAGAAATGCTGTCCTCTTGATACATGATGCAGCAGTGGATTTTTATGAAGAGCGCTTCATGCATCCCTGAAGGCTGTATCTATCGCGTGCAAAACACGAAAGATACGTCATCGAGAGATCAGGAGTTTTAAGCCATCCTGAGTCGATTTTGCCTGCGCTCACCTGTGCAGCAAATAAGGAATTTTGGAAGGTTGGTATTTTGTATGCTACTTTGACACGCACTCACCTTACATGCCGATCAAAGACTCGATAACACGCTTGATCAAGATTTTGACATAATTCTAGTGGGAAGGCACTTCATTCGGTACCTTTTTCCCGAGGTATTGTTTGCCACTTTGTTATATTCGTTGGACCAGCATTCTAACGTCTGCCTGGAAGGGCTACGTAATTTGGTTCAATGTCATATTTTGCAATAGACTACTGGTAGGCCTGAAAACTTGTTCATAAAACAACAGTCCGAATTTGCGGTTTCTCAGATAAAACCGTCCCAGTGGCCCGCTCATCACGTTAACCGGGAGAGGGGGGGGGGGGGGAGGATTACGCGGAAGTGATACGAGAAAGATGGAGCTGTACCGAATTTGATGAAACCAAACACTTGACCTTATGGTGCTGATTAATATGCGAATTAATAACAGACTCAGCTCCTCAAACACCAGAAGCGTTCCAGTTAAACAAATGCCCACTTAAAAAGTTAATACCTGCAACAATTATTTATGGCAGGCACGTGCAGCATTTGCATGGCAGGCGCGGGCATTTTTCGTTCTTGCTTTTAATACTTCCCTTGCTCAAGTGATTATTTCCCTTTGCTCCACCGTACAATACATCGCCCAAAGTATTGGCTTTCATATCGGAATGCTCCACCTCACGCGACTATTTCCTATTTACCATATGCATTTCCATTACACTTAATTGCATATTTGTCACGGGAGGTCGGTATTTTCAGATTTCTTTTAACTTCAACGTTACATGGCCTTCAAATGATTACAATATACAGGACATTTCCAAAATTCTGCGCTAAATGAGGTAAAACACCGTTTTCATGCATGCTTCGATCTGTTCTGAGAAAAATATGGAAAGCTTTTGTGTTCGTCCAACGTCTTTTAGGCATGCTCGTGCAATGACTGACGCATTTACCTCTTATGTCTTCGTATATGTGCGTACTGTCGTGTACGTGTACCATGCACGGCGTACTGCTTATGTGTACGTGGGCACCACATCACACGTGTGTTGGAAACAATACAGCATATTGCATGAATCCTGTATCCGTCTGCTTACACGATAAACAAACATCGACGCAAACCCAATAGCTGGGCCTTTACCTTCAGACCGTTACAAACAAAATCAAAATAGTGAAGCTTTATTTCCTTTCGTTGTTTATAAAAAGGAAACCCGTCTCGTTGCATTTAAGAAAGCTTCAGCAAGCCATGCTGTCTGCATAGTTAAAGCGCATTTTTCAGAAGCGTCGGCCCACAATCTAGTTAAAGCGAACTCTATTCCATGAACGTGACTTTGCGTCGGACTACGACATTTTCGCTTTGCAACAAACTCTTGGAACGCCTCGAGGCCGGACGTTCTCCGAACCTATCTCATTCAGCCGAGGAGCCGTGAAGAAGCCGAGCTTGGCGTCACTAAAACTGGGTTTGCGAGGGCGCGCAAGTCGAGTTGGTAATGAAGTAAGGAATTTCGCCGGGCAAAAACGTTTGTGACGTGG